CCCCCCTTTTTTTTTTTTTTTTTTTTGCTTGCGCGCTCGTCAATGTGTCCGTCTCGATTGCCTGTCAGGTGCTGATCGAGACTCTGGTGGCTCTGGGGGCTCAGTGTCGCTGGACCGCCTGCAACATCTACTCCACCCAGAACGAGGTGGCCGCCGCTCTGGCCGAGACAGGTGAGACGCCACCGAGCAAGAGGTCCACGTTTACTTTTTCATTCATTTGACAACCGCGTGAAATGGAACATCAACAACTGTTTTGTATTCCTGGTAGTTTTATTTTCTTCTGTGCAGGTTTTTTTTTCTTTTTTTCTCTCTGTGTGCAACTTTTTGGGAAGTTCAATGTTCGCCTGACCAGCTGGTCTTGCTTTGCGCCTTTAATTTCACCCGTGTGACTTTTTTGTTAGTTTTATTTTAACCTGTGGGAGTAGTTTTATATTCAAACCGGTACAGCCTGTATTTGATAGTTTTGTTTGAACGTGATGAATTGGATTGCTTTTATTTTTATCTACAAAACAATTTCCTTCCATCATTTCATTTTAACATGTACCGGTACATCTTTTGGGTGAGTTTTATTTGAACTGCACAAAATGTCTTGGTAGTTTTATTCTTACCTGCGCAACGTTTTTGGAGGCGGTGGGGGATGGTTTTATTTTAAGCTGCAAAACAGCTGTTGCTCGGTTAATTTTAATTTGGTCGTTTTAGTTTAACCGACACCACTTTGCTTTCTGTGGTACTTTTGTTTTGACCTCATGATTGTTTTTCAGTTTTATTTTGCACATTTGATAGTTGTAGTTTTAACCTGTACGAGTTTGTTTTTTTTATGCTGGTTTTATTTTAACCTGTGCACGTTCTTTTTGTTGTATGTTTAGTTTAACCTCTACATCTTTCTTTATTGATGTATTTATGAACGTGATTCGTTTTAGTCTAACCCTAAGGGAAAAAAATTGGTGGGGTCACTCAAAAAATAGACGCTTTGCTAGCTAATATCAGAGCACATACATGCTAACTGGCGATTGGTCGCTAACCAGTGTCGGGGCACAGATAGACAAACAATGGATTGGTGTGTCACTTAAAGGCAAACATTCCCACTCACGGGCAGCCAAGAAGTTTTTGGAATGAAGGAGGAAAAAAAAAAAATCCCATGTGAGCAAGAGCAGGGAGAGCATATGCAAAGTCCACACCAGATTTTTGGTGGACTTCCCAAAGTGTGACAACGTTTTGTGGCCATCGGTCTTGATCCTCCGCGCCTGTCGCCTCCCGCAGGAGTGCCCGTGTTTGCCTGGAAGGGCGAGACCGAGGACGACTTCTGGTGGTGCATCGACCGCTGTGTCAACACGGAGGGCTGGCAGGCCAATATGGTACAGTGGGCTGCGGCTTCGGTGCGGCGAGGACACCTTACGATCTCATCAACCTCTTTTCTAGATTTTGGACGACGGCGGAGACTTGACACACTGGGTTTACAAGAAATACCCCAACGTGTTCAAGAAAGTGCGAGGCATCGTTGAGGAGAGCGTCACCGGAGTTCATCGGTGAGACCCTTGAGTATCGCGAACGGTCTGCAATGGCAATCGAGAGAGTGGAAGAGTCACAGAACGGCACAAAAGTGAACATAACCTTTGCGAAAATCACAATTAAATCTTCTCAAATAATTAGCTTCAGTCTAGAGCAATTTGAAGCCAGCAATGCAAATAAAGGATAGCTTCAATTTTTTTTCCCGGGAGTTTGTTCCGCAGGTGAGGAGCACAGTAACGAAATGCTGCTTGGTTTTGTTTGCTTCTGGTTCTGGGAACGCACAAGAGACCTGTTCCAGGTGCCCTGAGGGGCCTGGCTGCCTTTGTCGAATACAAGTACACTTTGCCTGTGCTTTGGTCCAAGACCATTTAAAGACCGACAGCAAGATTTTAAAATCTGTTCTTTGACTCACGGGAAGCCAGTGTTGTGATTCGAGGACAGGTGTGATGTGGTCCAGTTTCCTGGATTTTGGTAAGACTCTGGCGGCAGCATTTTGGATGAGCTACAGCTGCCTGATTGATTTAAAAAAAATAATAAATACATTTTGGAGCCCTGTGAAGACATCGATACACGGTCGTCTCCTGAAAATAAAAGCATGAACACGTTTTTCTGTGTCTTGTTGAGACAGCAAACCCTGAATGCGAGCTCGGTTGTTGCCATGACAATGGGCACATTGAATCATAGCTTTAAAGTGGTTGTTAAAATTCAGGTCTGAGTCAATAATTGCATGAACATTTCTGGCATGATTAGCTTTCAGTGACACAGAGTTAAGGGTGATGGTAGGCAGTGTGCTGAACAAAAGACAGTATATGAACAAAAACACTTAACGGGGCACTTTGGAAAAACAGGTGCGAATCTGGAGGAGAAGGCCCTCCGTTGCCACCTGTTGGAGACAAATAGAATGGCGTCATGACAAAAATATTGGGGAAATAGAAATGCGGTGCAGCTCAGCCTTTGGCTAGCGGACAAACTTATTGGAAACTTTATTTAAAAAGGTAACATCCCGTACATTTATATTCAAGGGCGTGGGGGCTAAAAAATGCATAGTTGTGACTTTGCAACAATAGGACGATGCGGGTCCCAGGGTGGTGACAAGAGTTTTGAACCACCCCCGGTCGAGTTTTGACCGTGCGGCCACGTTGCAGATTGTACCAGCTGTCCAAAGCCGGCAAGCTGTGCGTCCCGGCGATGAACGTCAACGACTCGGTCACCAAGCAGAAGTTCGACAACCTCTACTGCTGCCGCGAATCCATCCTGGACGGGTGAGCGTGAGTGCAACATCCGTCCTTCGAACAAAGACACCAAAATTCACTCTGTTTTTTTTTTTTGGGCGGGGGGCAGCTTGAAGAGGACCACGGACATCATGTTTGGTGGCAAACAAGTGGTGGTGTGCGGCTACGGAGAGGTGATTTATCGTTCGGAATTGATTGAAATGCTCCCGTAACGTGTGTTTTACAGGTGCATCTTCATTAATGAGAACATGATAGAAAGTCATTATGTTTGTTCAGTGGAAGGATTATGGCTTTCAACTGATACAAAAAAAAAGACTTTAGGAGAGCGAACAGGAAACACCCAGCACTATTACAAAAATCTAGAAGTAATTGACTGCGATTGGCTGGCAAGCAGTTCAGGGTGTCCCCCGCCTACTGCCTAAAGACGGCTGGGATAGGCTGCAGCACCCCCCGCGACCCTTGTGAGGATTAGCAGGTCGGAAAATGAATGAATGAACGAATGAATAGAAGTAACTGTCAGGCCCTGATAAGATTTGTAATTCCCCATCGATGCCATAAGAACGTGGCAAAGCACAACTTAGATCCAGATGAGAGTCCCGAACTCACGACCACATCCATTCTTGAGAGACGGATCAAGATGGTCAGCAAATAGCGCCGAAAGCAAACCCGTCATCGAAAAGTTTTCCGGCATATCAAATGGACTGAGATGGCGCCTGTATGTGGCGTAGGTGGGCAAAGGCTGCTGCACGGCTCTGAAAGCGCTTGGAGCCATCGTGTGCATCACTGAGATTGACCCGATCTGCGCCCTGCAGGCGTGGTGAGTCTCTTCAGATTTTTTTTTCATGTCGATTCATGTTGCTAGTTTTTTTTTTGGGGGGCGGGGGGGGGGTAGTTGCTGGAGGGGTCGGAAAAGTTGCTAATTTGCCATCGTCACATCTCGGCTGGATTGCCGTAACGCACTTTACTTTGGAGTCAGCCAATCCTCCATGAAGCGTCTCCAGTTGGTCCAGAATGCTGCTGCTCGCCTCTTGGCTGCTACTCGTTAGAGAGAGCACATCACTCCCTTCACTGGCATCCCTATAGAGTTCTTTTGAAGATCCTCTGATTTGTTTTCAAATCTGGAAATGGCCTCGCCCCACTTTACCCCTCTGAGCTCTTCCGACCCGACACACCTGCCCGGTCCCTCAGGTCTGCGGACACGACGAGAGGTACCGAGGACTAAGCTCCAAGGGGATGAAGCCTTTTCTATTGCCGTTTCCTTTCTTCGGAATGAACGTTCGCCAAGCCCCCTCGCTGACCATCTTTCAAACTCGTCTTAAAAATCATTTTTGGCTTTCTACTATCTTGGTTTTTAATTTATGGTTTTATTGTTTGTTGTTGTATGAATTGTTTTTGTTCCACGTACAGCACTTTATCGACAGCGGTGGTTGTTTTCAAGTGCTCCAGAAACACACTTGAGTTGAATTGAGTTGAGTTGAGAATGTTGCCAATTCTTTTGTAAACTAGTTCATCTCTGTTCGAAGCCATGTTGTTAGTGGAAGCCGCTAATATATCCTGGAATTGTTGGGATTTTTTTTCAAGGTGTTGACAATATTTGTGTGATCACACCCAATCAGCATGGACGGCTTCCGAGTGGTCAAACTGGGCGAGGTCATCCGGCAGATGGACGTGGTCATCACTTGCACTGGTAAGATGGCAGAGAAACACACACACACACACACACACACACACACACACACACACACACACACTTGAAATCGGACTTGGACAAAATTTCTCTGTAGTTTTATTTTAACCTGTACACAATTTCTTGGGTAGCTGGAGTTCAAGCTGTAAAACATGTTGGTTTTATTTCAACCTGATCAATTTTTAGTAGTTTTCCTTTAACATTCGCATCTTTTCAGGGGGCGTAGTTTATCAAGTCAAACAATAGACCCCTCACCAAGGTTACTTTAACGAACCTAAATTAACAAAAAAAAAAAAAATGGGACGGAGGCATTCAATGAAGGCACTTGGCCCTCCAAGCTATTGGCTCCATTGTGTTTCCGTTGTGAGTTTCTAGAGTCTTTTTGCTCCCGAAGGCAACAAGAACGTCGTCACCAGAGAGCAACTGGATCGCATGAAGAACGGCTGCGTGGTGTGCAACATGGGCCACTCCAACACGGAGATTGACGTGGTAACCATTGCGTGTTGACGACCCCCCCCTCCCCCGACCCCCCCTAAACCTCGCCGACTCTCCGATTGTGTCTGATCTTCGTCACGCAGGCCAGTCTACGCAGCCACGAGCTGACCTGGGAGAGGGTCCGCTCGCAGGTGGACCACATCATCTGGCCCGACGGCAAGAGGGTTGTGCTTCTGGCCGAGGTGACGGATCGTTGGCGAGATCGCTTTGGAATGTTGGCGCTCGTAGTCGGCGTCCATCTTGGTTTGTTTGCCTTCTCTCTCAGGGTCGCCTGCTGAACCTGAGCTGCTCCACGGTGCCCACTTTCGTGTTGTCCATCACGGCGACCACTCAGGTCGGTTCTTGTGCGCCCGCTCTGCCTTCAATCACCACGACGGAGCCCCGCACATGACATGGAAATTGAATTGGTGACTCGACTGTCAATATAAGAGTGCAGGCAAAATTGTCATTTATGGCCACGAAACACCAAATTCCAGCCACTAAATTCGTCAGATGTGCACAGAAAATACCAATTGATACGACTGATCTAATTGCTGGACATTTGGAGAAGCAAATGAGGCGCACCTCGTCTGATCACCATTTCGATCGATGACATCATTTTAAGATGCGCTCTATTCGCTCGAACTTGAAGTCGTTCATCGGAATGATGTGAAGCTCACAAATTAGTATTTTGCTTGTACGCGTTTCGTAGCTTCCTAGGAATATTTTGTGGCCTCAGTATTTTGTGAGCCCAGTAGAGAAGGGAATGTTTGGAGCATTAGCCATGCTCATACAAAATGCTTTGTATCGTAATGATCCATGGATGCCAAGAGGTGGTGGCAAAGCATTCGAAAAAGCTGGGGGGCCTGACTCAGAGTTCCTTCCCTTCGTTTAAAAATAGATGTTCACCACCAGATGGCGCCAAAGCTAAAGTCTAATACGAGACGCGTGAGCGATTTTCCAGCCAATAATCGAGTACAAGTTGAAACAAACAAAAACAAAAAAATGCCAACCCATGCATACGCCTGGCTTCACTCTCGAGCTCTGTTGTTGATGTTTTCCCCCATGTCATGTCAGGGTCTACGCACACAACACAAGTTGTTCATGGCAATGTTTGTGACTGACGGCTCTCTCCCACTGTCTCTTGTGTGATTGCTTGGCTGCAGGCTCTGGCCTTAATTGAGTTGTTCAATGCCCCGGAGGGACGTTACAAGCAGGACGTGTATCTCCTGCCAAAGAAAATGGGTAAACACGCGCATGTGTTTCCTCCGCCCGACAAAGCAAAACCACGGCGACGCACGCACGTACTGAAAGTGGTCACTCATGCCATGCAGAAGTATCTCATGGCACGGCCCCCCCAAACAAAAACGTCACCCAAAAAAATATCTGCAATGAACACCCCACCGCCCACACCATAGGTGGAAATCAAGAACCCAAATCGAATGAAGTCGTCGTGTTAAACATAAATCAAAACAGGATTTGCAAATCATGTTCTGCCTACAAAGACAAAGATATGTCACGTTCAAGCTGGTTGGTTTCCGCCAATAATCCTTCACTTTGAATAGTTTAGCTGCAACATGTTCCAAAAAAAAAGCACAATGTCCCAACATGATTGGATTTGGGCTTGGAGAAGGTCGAGTTAGCGGTGTGGAGAAATCATATTTCTGAGCCAATCCAGTGAAATTGGATTGAACGCTTGGGCGCTGCGATGACGTTCCCTTTTTTCCCCCCCTTTGCAGACGAGTACGTGGCCAGTTTGCATCTTCCCAACTTTGACGCTCACCTCACGGAGCTCTCTGACGAGCAGGCCAAGTACATGGGCCTCAACAAGAACGGACCCTTCAAGCCCAATTATTACAGGTACCGGGTGTTTCCGCGCACGCTTTACGGCAGCGAGTGGCTGGTTTGATCTTGCGCGTGTACAATCATGCTGTATTTTTGTCTTCAGGTATTAATGGGGAGGCCTCGCTGACGTTATCCTGAAATGAACAGAGATATCTATTTTATTTGATAAATTGCCACCCAATGGAGGACTTATTTTACCGATGTAAGCAACATAGTAGGGCAGGCATAGCTTGAAAAATGTATTGCATAATCAGCCAGCATGTTTGTCTTGTCAAATATTTACACAAAAGCTCATTTGGATACACTGTTAGGAACCGCAGCTTTTTCTTTTTTTTTTTTTTTTTTTTTTTTTTTAATGCACAGTGCCAAAAATGAAGGCCGTAAGAATGAAAGCCGGGCTGTGACATGAAATATTGAAGTGTGATCTACATTCCGCTTGTTCATGATACCCTAGCGACGGCTTCTTTTTGTGTGGTCAGATTCCTGCTGAGTTTTATTGATATGCCATCAAATGTATCAACCAGTCACTCGGCAATGAGAATTCAATCCCAAATATCTGCTCCGCCCCGATCAAAATTTTTAAAAAAATGCTTTGACTTGAGAGCGCAGACTTGAGATACAAGCGCCGCGATGTGGCAGCAAACGCCACTCACTTCACATGAAGCAGCAGCTTGGCAACTCGAGAACCTATTCCTTTGTTCTGTTTCCTGTCACTCCAAATTGAGGATTACACATTTTGTGTCAAAAACAATCCAGCGCTTTTGCTCGAGGAACAAACACTCGCGTAACGCTTTGGCACAATGGAAAACGGCACAGACACGCCAACGAATGCCATTGATAGTTGCCGTGTTAGAAACATTTCAGCACTGGATATCAGAAAACAGGGTGGAGCAACACATGTAGACAGACAAAATTCCTCATTTACTGTCAGTCATCAATGAGACATTCATAATAAAGACGCAATGAGGAGAGGAGACACTCAATTCTGCTACCAAATAACTCGAGGGTGGTGGGGGTGTGAACGAGGAGAAGCATTAGGTTTCAGTTCTCTGCACGTCACCCAAGGATCTCCCCGCTCGCCCACTCATTTATTCCTCATTGGGAAATCTAATAGATGGGTGTGTCCAATCTAAGGAGTGAGGGCTGTCGAAGACGCACACTGAACGTGTTTGACTATGTGTGTGTATGTGAGTGAAAATGACGCACATGTGTGCGATCGTCAGAAAAACACCAAGTAAGCTGCAGCTGGTGTTGACAGCGCCATCCGCGCCCGACCTTGCTCTTGTTTTGTCTTATGACCTTATCTCTTTCCAACCACATTCTCGGAAAGGTGGTTGTGTCCCCTAACTGTCACACAGTGCACAAAGCATTCTTTATTTTCAGTATGAGCATGTCTTTATTAAGAGCATAATCAATTCACCATGATTAATACGCGAATGTATGATCGCGAAACCGTTAAAATATGTAATTATTCCGACATTCACAACCGATGCTAGTATGCTTGACTAATTTCATTGATTGCCAGCTTCTGAATGAATGCGCTCTTCCCTCAGTGATCAGGTTAACGCTGTCTGAATTTCCAACATGTCGATATTTGAATCAGCTTTACTGTTGAAAAAAAAAAAACGCACACTTTGTAACCTAACCGTAGAGGCGTGTTTTCTGTCTAGCGCGATTGTCTTCTTTTGTTGTCGTCGTGCAATTGAATCAGCAATAAAAGACGGGTGTCGGCGAAGCAGAGTGTATCTTCAAATCAAGCTAATTAAAGGATATATTTTGAAGGATGGAGTCTTTATTTCAAATGTCATGCAAAAGAACATTCGCAAAATAAATAGTTTCCCTTTCATAAATACTGTTGCTCCAAAAAAAAACAGCAAAACTGCAGCTATTTACATCCTACTGGCTTTTTTGATACATAATTTCTATATGGGTCATTCCAGAACTGGAGGACATTACATCCCAATAAAAGTTGTAATAATCCATGCACAAAATACGAAAACATTCTTGTGTAAATTACTGTTGTCTCGATACAAAATCTAACTTGAGCAGTAGGAAAAGTCATACCATCGTATAATTGCTGAGTGCCCCCTGAAATAGCTTTTCTTTGCTTTCGCTCATCCCTCTTTCGTCCCACCTTTCCTCGGCGTGCGGAGGACACGACGTGGCCATGACCCCCGCCGCCCCGACTGTAGATGGCAACTATGAATACTTTAATAGCACTTTAATCCAATTAGTCGACTCATGACGACTTTGGCTGGCTCGTCCACTCTGGGGGGTATAACCTCCGTGCTCCCAACTGAACCTCCTGCCACCCCCTCGCCACCCTTGGTAAAACCGCGTCGAACCGCCAGTACCCATTATCCATCCATCGCACTAGGCAGGGGGCACGCCCTGAACCGGTTGCCAGCCAATTTCAGGGCACACATGGACCAACAACCATTCAAACTCACAGTCACACATCGGGACAATTTACAGTGTTCAGTTACCCTACAAAGCATGTTTTTGGAATGTGGGTGGAAATCAGAGTACAGTACATGGAGAAAAATCCACGCAGGCACAGGGAGAACATGCAAACTCCAGGGCCAGAGCGGGAATCGAACCCATGACCTCTGTACTGTGAGACTGACGTTACCATTACTTTACATTTAAAACTGCAGGCATTTCCTGACATTTTGACATTATTAAAACAATGCCAAACGTATTTGTTTTTTCCTCTTACTGTGAAGGCCAGGCATTTTATTTTGAAAGATGGCCGGAAGCGGCGCTGACTTGCAAGGACTTGACTGTCCAACTTTTTTTTTTTTTTGTTTCGTTTTTTTCGATGACGCCGCTGATCGGTTTCGCATCAGACTTAGCAATAGCTTTAGCAATAGCAGGGTAACGTCGTCACGATGGCACTGAGCTCGCCAGTCTCGGGTCGGCATGGGCGACGCTGAGCGGGACGGCGGAGCCGCGGAGGCCGAGCAGAGGCCGCCGAGCAGCGGGGATGAGAAGGTGGACGAGGCGCTGCGCCGCTGGATGCGCTGGGACAAGGTGAGCCTTGAACTCAAAACATCCCCCGCCCCGCCCATCAATCACAGCGGTGCTGCCAGTCACTTTGATTGACCGTTCCTTTCACCTCACCGACAAGCTTCGCGAGTCACGTGCGCTGGATTGTTGACAAAAACGAAAAAGGCGAGGAGCAAGCTGTCACGTGATCAGTCCTCGAAAACTAAAGCGTCTGTGGACAAAACCGTAAAGTCGGACCGTTTGCTTGAACGAGATCAATAAAAACGTCAGATTATTTTATTGACGTTGATTAAAAACCTGCGCGTCAATTCTGAAGCAAACGACAAATGAACGTTTGCGATAGCGACTTAAGAAGGGACTGTCTGAAGGTGTCCTGCGCAGAGCTTGTTTGCGGAACATTTCGGATTTGTCCTCTGAGCTCACGAACCTTCTGGAAAGTGCCCGGAAAATCCAATTCAAGCGGTTTTCACCTCCTCGCCTCATAGGAAAAGGTCATGAACTCTGATAACCTTTGGTGCAAATGTCAGCTGCTCGCCTCACTTAGACATCATTTGACACCACACGCGCATATGACTCCCAACACGCGTACACGGTCACCACTCCCGCACGCGCTTGGCGAACAGAACCGCACACACACTTTCAAGAACCACACCTTCACACATCCACTCCCGCGGTGAACTTAAATCACACAGACATGTCAGGCGCACCGTTAAACACGCGCATGGTTTACATGAGCCATACAAGGTTACTGTTGCGCGCACACACACAAACACTCCCACACACTGAGTATGACCACAGGACACCCAGACGCAATTTTTTAAACAGTCTATTTTAAAATGCGTCATGTTAAAACAAATGCACACAATCCAATATGACATAATCGTCTCAACTTTTTGAGATATATTATTGGTTAAATCCGATACCTGGCTGCGTTTGGCTCAACTCAGAGTGATAATAAATTTGGATTTTTCATTATGTTTAGGTTTTATTTTGTTTAGAGTTTATTTATTTAATTCAGTTAGTTTCAGTATTAGTTTTAGTTTTAAAAAAAATACTCGTGTGCAAGATTTTAAAAGTGCCACGGTCAGTGCTGTGTAGTTCAAACTCAACAAAAATATTTTAAAAACATCTCAAAAAGAACCCTGAACTTAAAGAAACTTAAATTCAGGTCTACTGTGTACCATTTTGTCTTTAAATATATTTTTTCAACATAAAAACGTATATTTTTTCAACATACTTGTTACAAAGTGCCGCATTTCGAGCTGATTTAAATGACAAAAGCAGGGGAGACCCTAAACCCACACACTGAGTATGACCACAGGACACCCAGACGCAATTTTTTAAACAGTCTATTTTAAAATGTGTCATGTTAAAACAAAACGGCAAATGCAAACAATGCAATAAGACATAATCGTGCAGCTCAACCATCCACTTTTTGAGATATATTATTGGTTAAATCCGATAACTGGCTGTGTTTGGCTCAACTCAGGGTGATAATAATTTTGGATTTTTCATTATGTTTCGGTTTTATTTTGTTTAGAGTTTATTTATTTATTTCAGTTAGTTTCAGTATTAGTTTTAGTTTTAAAAAAAATACTCGTGTGCAAGATTTTAAAAGTGCCACGGTCAGTGCTGTGTAGTTCAAACTCAACAAAAATATTTTAAAAACATCTCAAAAAGAACCCTGAACTTAAAGAAACTTAAATTCAGGTCTACTGTGTACCATTTTGTCTTTAAATATATTTTTTCAACATAAAAACGTATATTTTTTCAACATACTTGTTACAAAGTGCCGCATTTCGAGCTGATTTAAATGACAAAAGCAGGGGAGACCCTAAACGTGCAACACACACACATACACACACACACACACACACACACACACACACACACACACACACATTCACACACACAGGTTTACGCACAGAGGGTCAAAGTGAACATGAGCACACACAAAGACACTCACACACGCACACACTCCGCACGCTGGTCCCAAGCACAGCGATTCCACGCAGTAAACACTGTATTTGTGTGGGTGTGCGTGTTTTTCAGAACGAGTGGACTCGGGCGCAGACGGTCGCCTTGCTCGGGTCGGCGAGCGTGTCCGAGCTGCAGCGCCGGTTCTGCTCCACGTTGACTTTTGGCACCGCCGGTCTGAGAGCGCCGATGGGTGCAGGGTTTAGCCGCATCAACGACCTCACCGTCATCCAGTCCACGCAGGTCAGTGTTGTGTTGATGTCTATGTGTATGTGTGTTTGTTTTTTGTTTTTTGGTTTTTTTTTAATATTTGTGTCTGTGTGGCAGGGTTTGTGCGCCTACCTGCTCAAGTGTATTCCAGATGCGGCCCGCAGAGGCGTAGTGGTGGGCTTTGACACCAGGGGGCAGCCAGAGAGCGGCTGCAGCAGTCAGTGGTAAGTCAAGCTGCAGTGTGGGTTGCCACGGAAACGTCCTGTTTCCTGTTGTTGCCGTAGGAACAGCATCTTTGCCGCTGTGCTCTTTGCTTTTTTTTTAGATGTTGCGTTCAAAACATTGTATTTACAGTTGTTGCCATGGAAACGGCAATCTTCCTGCAGCGTTGGTTGTCCCGTGGCGTGTTGCTATTGAAATCACATTTCACATTGTGTGTCACCATGGTAACACCGTAGTTACAATTGCACGTGTGGCCATGGAAACGGCACATTTACTGATGTTGCCAAGTTGCCGTGGAAGGAGGATATTTTCCTGCTGCATGTTGCTTTGGAAGCAATCCGTTCGCGGCGGACGGTTACCGTGGAAACAGCACATTTAGTTTTGCCACCAAGGAAACGCCATGTTCTATTCTACGTTGGCGGCAATGTGTTGCCATGGAAACCACACACGCACAGCCGCATGAATTGCCGTGCTAACGTAGCAGTGTCAGCACACGTGCGTGACGTTTGCAGGCTGGCGTCACTGACGGCGGCCGTGATGCTGAGCAGAGAGGTCAGCGTGCATCTCTTCTCCAGCTACGTGCCAACGCCGTACGTGGTGAGCAGACGTGACGTCACTTCTCCCGGCGGGATTAGCGCCTGCGCGCATGAGGCCGTCTCGTGTCTTGCAGCCCTTCGCCGTCAAGGAACTGGGCGCGGCGGCGGGCGTGATGGTCACGGCGTCTCACAATCCCAAAGAGGATAACGGCTACAAGGTGTACTGGCGCAACGGCGCTCAGGTGACGTCGCCGCACGACGCCGCCATCATGGCGAGCGTGAAGGAGCATCAGGAGCCCTGGAGCGCCGCCTGTTGGGACGTTAGGCTGGCGCAGCACAGCCCGCTGAGGAGCGACCCGCTGAGGCACGTCGATGCCGCCTTCATGCGTGCCGTCGCCAGCCTCTGCTGGCACAGGTGAGAGGGTTGTCGTGGAGTAACGATTTTTTTGGGCAGAGTTGCCATGGTAACAGCACATTCACGTGGCAAGCTCCTATGTTGAGCTGAACTGTCGTAGCCATGGCAACAGCACATTTACGCCTGATGTCGTCATGGAAACAGTAGTTCTGTAAATGGCGTACGTGGTGTTGTTGCCATGGACACGGCAGATTGATTGCGGCACTGGAAACGGTAGCTTTCCAGCTGTTGCCGTGACAACATCCGACTTGCAGCCGCCTGGTTGCCATGGGAACGACTCATTTGGTGTCATCATGAAAACGCCATCATTTACAGCTGATGGTGTTGCTGTGTGAGGGGGCGGCATGGTCAAGTGTCGCGTGCATGTGTGCAGGGAGGCCAATTCGAGATGCCAGCTCAAGTTCGTGCACTCGTCTTTCCACGGCGTTGCTCATGACTTCATCCAACGAGCTTTTGCCACCTTCGGGTTTGAATCGCCGCCCATTCCCGTCCCCGAGCAGAAAGACCCTGACCCTCAGTTCCCGACTGTGCGCGTTCCCAACCCCGAAGAGGGACACTCTGTCCTGGTACGACGCCATCTTCTGCTTCCTCTTCTTCGACTTCTTCTTCTTCTTCTTCTTCTTCTTCTTCCCGACTTCACATTTCCAGGAGCTGTCTTTTCGTCTGGCCGAGCGGGAGAACGCCGCCGTGGTCCTGGCGACCGATCCGGACGCGGACCGTCTGGCGGTGGCGGAGCTGAGCGACGGCGGCGAGTGGAAGGTGTTCTCGGGAAACGAGCTGGCGGCCTTGCTCGCGTGGTGGATGTTGTCGTCGTGGAAGAGCACGGCTGGCGACGGTGCCGACCTGCGGGATGTCTACATGCTCACCACCGCCGTCTCCTCCAGGATCCTCCACTCGATGGCCCGGCAGGAAGGATTTCATGTCGAGGTGAGGCTGGCGCTACTGTGTCTTCAAACGGTCTGTGCTTCGTAATGGACAAGTGAAGCTTCATGAAGCACTCGTGATCATTTTTAACTCCTCTGGATGGCACTCTTGGTTCAAAGATGCAGTGGAATTTCAACACATTTCCATTGCACTAAACCAAGAGCCCCATCGAGAGGATTCAAAAAGTGCTTCATGAAGCTTCGTTTTGCCATCACTAAGTCTGTGCTATATCAAAACATAAGAGTAACATCAAACAGATGGAAAGTCAAGAAGTCAACACTTTCTCGTCAACAGGAAACGCTTCCCGGCTTCAAGTGGATCGGCAACAGAATTCAGGAGCTCACAGCAGAGGGAAAGACCGTCTTGTTTGCCTTTGAAGAATCCATCGGTATATGCCAGCGCCGTGACGTTGCCGCCATCGCGCCGCGCGATCCCTGACACGCGTGTGCGCGCACGCAGGTTTCCTGTGCGGCAGTCGGATTCCCGAGAAGGACGGCGTGAGCACGGCCGTCGTGGTGGCCGAGATGGCGGCCGACCTCCGTGACAGGAAGCTCAGCCTCCAGCAGCAGCTGCATAACATCTACCAAATGTAAGGACACGTTTGCTTCCCGCGTAGACCCGCATCAACTTCCTGTTTGACACGCCCACTTCCCGGGCGACGGACATCCGCTTTCTGAGCGATGCGCATCGGCGTTTTGCGCGACGCACATCAACTTCCTATTTCTTAGGTGACACGTCAGCTTCCCGTTCAACAGACCTCAACGTTGTGTGCAACGCAAATCTATTTCCTGTGGGGACACATTTATTTTCTGTGAAGCCATTTCCAGGCTGGCTCTCGATAAACCGGGAGGAATTTGGACACGCCCTCGGTTAATTGGAGCTAAGCTCAGCCGCTCGTGCGTCCGCTGGGAGCGGAAATGGGAATGCAGAATCTGTCAATCAATAGCCAGCGTCAGGCGGGGGCGGGCGAGGGGGACTTTCCTGAACATCGGCGCATGCTCGTGGCGCTCACAAACGCATCAGCAGTCGAGGACGAGCGGCATAGAAAAGCGGAGCAACGACGACAGACTGCTCCGAAGCGGCCTTCGCTGAGGGCCGTGAAAGGCCCCGTGAATTTGCCCGCCGACTGCAGTCAAAGTCACGCCCGGAAGTGATGTCACGTGGCCGGCGGCAGACGCAGCCTGCAAATTTGGACATAGCGTGGACACAGAAACTGCACATCGAGCTTCCCGTGTGTGTCAGAACGACTTCCCGTGTGAATTCTTGTGTGACCCCCATCAAGCTCTTGAGTGACGCACATTTGCAATCCTTGCCGAGCGGGCGCACATTTTCCTCTGTGACGCAGCCGCTCCCACCTGTGAACTTGCTTTGCGCAGGTACGGCTATCACATGTCGCGGACATCGTACGTCATCTGCAACGACGGCGTCACCATTGGCCGCATTTTTGCTCGCCTCAGAGACTTTGGCGGCGGCGGTGGCGGCCCGTATCCCGCCACCTGCGGCGGGATACGCGTCGTCCACGTGAGAGACGTCAACAGGGGATTCGACAGCAGCCAGGCGGACAGCCGCTCGGTAACGGGTCTCCCAACTCTGCCTACTTTTTTTTCCATTTCCCTCCAAACCCTTCCTTCCTTCCTTCTTCTGCTCCTCCTCCTTTCTTTTCCCTCCTTCCTCCCTCTCCTTCTTGAAGTCTTTCATTTTTCCTCCTCTCCTTTGCTTCCTTCTCTTGTCCTTCGTCACCCCATGTCTTCCTTCTCCATCCTGCTTCTTCTCCTCCCTTCCTTCTCGTGTTTCCTTTTCCATTCCCCATTGCTTCCTCCACCTCCCTTTTCCGTCATTCTTCATATTTCTTCTTCCTTTTGTTTCTTCTCCTCCCTTTTCCTTCCTTCCTCCTTCCTTCTGATTTGTCTCCACCTCTTTCTTTCCTTCTCCTGACTTCTATTCTTGCATCCTTCTTGTTCGCCGTCCTCATCCTCCTTTTTCTTTCCCCTTTTCTTCTGCTGCTTCTCTTCTTTCATTCTTTTCCTTCCATCTCCTTCCTTTGCACCCTCCTTCCTTCTCTCATTTTGTCTTCCTTCATTCCTTCTTCGGTTTTTCCTTCTTTGCCTTCATTTCTTCTGCCTCTTTCCATTTTCTCCCCGTTTCCTTCCCTCTCCTTCCTTTGTTCACCCCCCCCATCCCTTTTTTCCCTTCCTTCTCCCATCCCATCTGCCACTAAGCTTTTTCCTGGTTTCCCGGCTCAGGTACTTCCCATGAGCAGGAGTGGTCACATGATCACCTTCACGCTGGAGAACGGCGTCGTGGCCACGCTGAGGACGAGCGGCACCGAACCCAAAATCAAAATTTACACTGAATTGTGCACCGCGCCCGGAACCAGGTGACACTATTCTCACACGACTTTATTATTATTTTCTTATTGAGTTAGTTAAGCTGTCAACAAAACACATCTTCTGGATCAGAGGTTCTCGATACATTTTTACAGCAGTTACCACCTTTGTCCCCCCAAGTACGAGTTATTGTCATTGATTTGGTATTGTTTAGTGATTAAAAACAACAACAACTAAACACCAATGAAGAAAATTTAATGCTGTAAAACTTAACAGCACCGAAAATAATGAAAACAAAATAAGGCATAAAAAAAAAAAGTTAGCTAGTAACTTTATGTACAGTTTGAAAATTAGCTCTCTGCTCAAATAAAGTCAAATAATCTTCGAATAATAACGAGGGACCAGTCGGACGTGTGAGCGGGCGACCACTCAGAGTGTGACGTTGCTTCCTGTCGACTGGATTGCAGCGTCGTGTCTGGCCTGGAGGCGGAGCTTCGGAAGGTGACGGACGCGCTGCTGGATGACTTCCTGGAGCCCGAAAAAAACGACTTGATTCGCCGCGCTGTCTAGCTCCACCCCCTGTCGTGATGTCACTTGCTGTTCCGTTTCATCGCGTACTCAAAAGAATCGAACGGCAAAGCTGGAAGTGGCTACGGTGATGGTGACAAATCCAAAGTGAATGTTTACATGCGTGGAGCGTGAAAAGATGATTCTACCTTTTATTTATTTTTCTAACGTTGCAGCTTCCTGTGTAAGCAAACATTTCATGTGTCGCAATAAAGCCGGCTTAGTTCAAAGGCGAAAATGTGTCTGTGGATGCTACTTTTACATCGGAAAATGGCTTTTTTTTTGTTTCACGATTTGAATTTGGGGTATTTCGGTTGGCTTTGTTTTCAACTTTCAGGGTGAAAGAATGACATTTGGGATGTTTTATTTTTAATTGTTGTCAAATATCAAAACGGGTTAAAGTTGACACACACATTTTAAAGAAGTGATTTGTCTCCAAAATATGTCGTGTTGATGACATCACGTACCACGCACATCGATGTTTGAGTTCTCGCTAACGATTAACCGAACTGCCGTTTTAGCTCCAAAGTAACACCGAATGTCAATAAACGTCCGTCATTCTGCGAATACTCCAGGTAGGTCTGCAGTTGTCATTTATTTTTATACCCATTTTAACCGTTTTGTAACAGAAATACGGTACTCAGAGTTTGCCACATTTACTGACCGCTTTACCTTTCATGTGTGACCGAACAAATATGATGTTGAACACAACACTTGTACGTCGTGGGTGCTTGTTCTCACGTGTGGTTGGCAAACTTTGGTATTGTTCAATACGTTTAGTGCCATCCAAGCCTTGATTCCCTCCAGACGGGACAAAAGAGGCCTTGAGGCACGGGCGTCCAAATCTAAACCACCGATTTAGGTAGACGGAGAGAGAAAATCCGTCTCGTGGAATTGTAGATCGTGACAATCGCAGGGCAGACACAGACGAACAACCGTTTGCGCTCACAATCTGGTCTGCGGACCAGACATTATTAGAGGTACCAAGGACTAAGCGGAGGCTCAAGAGTGGATGGAGCCTTTTTCTGTTGCCGTTCTGAATTTATTAGCACAAATGTTCCTGATTTCGTTTCCTGGATGTGTCATGACGTTTTCATCATCATTTTCGATTTCACTCCCACAACCAAGCAAACATCCTTCTTCCTTCCTTCCTTCCAACAAGACAGCCACCCGTTCTTCTTTCTTTTCGAACATCCTACATATTGCTCCATCCTTTCTTTCGACTGACCTAACGACCAGCCAAGTGACCTCACTTCTTTGCAGACATGTTGACATCTGTCGCCATGACGATCTCACTACTGCTGCTCAGCGCCGCCCTGGTGGAGAGCAGAGGCGAGGCTCACTCGGCCGCCGCCGGCCGGCCGCCGATCCCAACGCCAATCCTACCGCCGATCCCACCGCCAACGTCTGCCGCCGTGGTGTTCCTGCAGCGCCACTCGGCCGAGGAGATCCTGCGCTCGACCGCCGCCGCAAGGAGGCGGCGAGCAAATGCCATGTTGCTGGAAGAGATGTTTCCCGGTGACCTGGAGCGAGAATGCTACGAGGAACGTTGCTCCCAGGAGGAGGCCGCAGAGATCTTCCAGTCGCAGGAGAAGACGGTGAGACTTGCTTTCCTCTCTCGGGGATACTGCCATGATATGCTGCTATAGTCTGCTGTCACTCCCCAGCTCGAGTTCTGGTTCCGGTACACGAGTGAGTCCATCCCGAAGCAGGAATTGATGACATGACCAGGAAGGAATGAGATTCCGCCACAGTAAACGGGAAGTTGTGCTTCCGCAGACTTGAGTCCGTGCGCCAGCAATCCCTGCGTGAATGGTGGGAAGTGCATGTTGGAGCGCGGAGATTTCCTCTGCCTGTGCCCGCCCCGATACCATGGCAGCACCTGCCACTTGGGTAACCGTGGCGATCGCTCGCCTTGCCTACTCGACTCTTTCCATTAACACTAGTGTGTGCCTGCTGTGTGTGTGTGTGTGTGTACGTGCATGTTTGTGAATAGACAAGGGCTTGGATGGTAACCGGTCTGCATTGACCAAGCAACTTTTTTGCAAAACTTGTCAACCCGGCCATCACCCGGCGTTCATTTATTTGGTGTGTTTCGGAGACAGGGAACATGGTTCCATCGTCTCTTGACCCATGGGAAAGTACCATTTATTTAACATCCTTTTAATTGGAATACATGCAATCATAAAATAGAACAACTTTAAGTGTACTTACCCCACGGCAACGAGACTCAATTGATTGAATTGATGCAAAGTGAATCGCAAAACTGAGAAAAAAAAACACTATTTCACAAGGGCGTATTTTCCCCTGCAGATAATAACGAGCAACTGAGTCCCATCCCTAGCGTATAAACGTGTATGTGTGTGAGTATTAGTATTGCGGTGTGTGTGTGTGTGTGTGTGTGTGTGTGTGTGTGTGTGTGTGTGTGTGTGTGTGTGTGTGTGCATGCTCGCATATGTAAATCTGCGTGTGTATCTGTCTGAAAGTGTCAAAGTGTGTGATGTTTGTGTCCCTGCAGAGGTGTCATCGTGCTCCTATAGAAACGGCGGCTGTCTGCAGTACTGCACGGACCTGCCAGGGGGCACTGCTGTTCAGTGTGGATGTGCTGACGGCTTCAAGTTGGAGTCTGATGGACGCAGTTGCTCCAAGACAGGTACCACCCACATCAGTGACCAACACTTGCTGTGACCAACACATGGGCACACACGCACAGAGACACAGAAACACATCAGCGTGCTTATGCGCACAAGCACGCGCACAATAAAAGTATGGTTTGTCTTTGCATTCGCTCAGTGGCCTTTCCCTGCGGCATCCAGCAGGCGGCAGTGTTGCAGCGGGGTCGTGCCCTCTGGAACCTCTCGGATGACGCCAACTTCACGGCAGAGACAGACTTCCTCTTGGATGACGCCAATTTCACTGAGGAAATGGACGCCATCTTGCACGACGCCAACGTCACCGTGGACACGGACGACATCTTGGATAGTGGCCGCCGCATCCGCTCCAACTATTCACAACCTACCGGAGAGTCACTCAATCCTCGCATTGTGGGAGGAGCCTTGGAGAGACTGGGAGGAAGTCCCTGGCAGGTGCGGATAGAAAGCCTTCCATTTCCAGGAAAGGAAGACTTCAGTTTCCCCCGTGGGAGGAATTTGGTTTGAAGAGTTCCGTTTAGTGGGTGAGAAGAGGTCAGGTGTCCGAATGGGCGGGGGTCGCGTTCCCGGAATGGAAAGAGTTTGTTTCCCGGAGGGGAAGAGACCAGTTTTCGGGACCGTTGGGGATGCGGAAGTGTTCTGTTTCTGAGACGGGAAGAGTTCTGTTTGAGGAATGGCAAGCTTTTGGTTTCCGGAAATGAGAAGTTTTCAGTTTCCTGGAGGGAAAGCTTTCCGTTTTTTACTTGCTTCAACCAAATAACGATTCCGATTCCTTCATTTATGCCAGACTGACTTAGGACTTGTTTCATACTTCCAAGTTAAAACTTGAGACTGACTTCTAAGTTTGAGTATGTGACTTACTTCCCGCCTGTGCTGCCTTCAGGTTCTCATCCGTCGCGCCGACGGTTATGGATTCTGCGGAGGAACTCTGGTGTCGGATCGCTGGGTGATCTCGGCCGCGCACTGCTTCCAGCAGACCGCTCATCACGTCACCATAGGTCACGCGGTGTTTTTTGTTCGCTTTTCTTCTGGGTGGACATCAAATCACCAGTTTGTAATGAGTTTTGGGAGTCGAAAGAAACCTTTTCCGCTCTTTCCCAACCGACTATTACAGCCAACAAGAACTCGCCTACAAGGCTCGACCAAAATGGCGACCAGAAATGCACTGTGGGAAATTTACAAGAGCCTAGCTAGCTAGCTATCTTAGCTAAATCCAGGATACTTACGGAGGTGTCAAATTCATGTCCAGAAAGTAAAAAGCTTTATACTTTCTGGACTTGGATTTGACACCTCTGGATATTTACCAGCCACAGATCAGCTATAATTTGTTACAAGAATGTTAGCCACAGGTTAGCTGCTGTATATTTAGGATACACTACGCACAGGCTAGTTATAATTGACTTCTGTGTTGGCTACAGGTTAGCTGCTGTATACTCAATCTCTGCGCGTTGTGTGTGTTGCACCCGAAGGAGACTACGACAAGCAGCGTCGCGATCCCGGCGAGCAAAACATTCCGGTGGAGCGCGTTCTGCCTCATCCCCACTACCACGATTTCACCATGGACAGCGACGTGGCTCTGGTCTACCTGGCCCGGCCTGTCGTCAGGGGGCCCACCGCCATCCCCGCCTGCTTGCCCGACCCCCACCTGTCCAAATACCTGCTGAAGGTGGCCGCACATCGAGATTCTTAACCTTACCCCACCTTGACCGCATGATGTTTTTATGGGGAGCCAGTTGGTGGCTCAAGGGCCACATTTGATTCTTTTTCCAACAGACGACGGGTGGGACAGCTCATTTTTTGAGAAAAAACAAAACAAAACAGAAAGAGTTTGATGTATAGAGAGACATGAATGTGAAAAATGAACACATAACTAACCAATTTTTGGAAAACAAAAGGTTTTTCTGAAT